ACTGAAAGGGAAAAATCTACACCCAAGATTACTGTATCCAGCAAGGATCTCATTCAAAATTGATGAAGAAATAATCAGCTCTTCAGACAAGCAAAAATTAAGAGAATTCAGTACCACCCAACCAGCTTTACAACAAATGTTAAACGGACGTATACAGTCAGGAAATACAACGGAAGGAAAAAGATCTACAAAATCAACCCCGAACAATTAGAAGATGGCAATAGGAACATATATATCAATAATTACTTTAAATGTAAATGGATTAAATGCTCCAACCAAAAGACACAGACTGGCTGAATGGATACAAAAACAAGACCGATATATATGCTGTCTACAAGAAAGCCATGTCAGACCTCAAGACACATATAGACTGAAAGTGAGAGAATGGAAAAATACATTCCATGCAAATGGGAAGCAAAAGAAAGCAGGAGTAGCAATCCTCCTAACAGACAAAATAGACCTTAAAATAAAGAAGATTACAAGAGATAAGGAAGGACACTACACAATAATCAAAGGATCGATCCAAGAGGAAGACATAACAATTGTAAATATCTATGCACCCAACATAGGAGCACCTCAATTCATATATATTTAAGATACATATGAATAAAGAATAGTCTCTAAGTGTTATATGTCTCAACATATAAAACATTTCAAGGAGTCAGAAAGTAAGCCGATTTCCTCACTTCTCATTGATACTAAGTTTGAAATGTGGAGTTAAGAAAAACATAATAACTACCACCTCTTATTGCTTTTCATTTAAATTTTAGTGGTATCTTTAAGGAACTAATATCTCTTATGGTATATTAGTGTTTATCTCATCTTGGGTAGTTACTTCAGTTTCTTTTCAGTTTTTTAAATGTTAAATCCAAGTTATGTACATGTGCCTTCCCATTGGATAAAATGTCTACCCATATATCCATATACTGGAAATATGTCTGGAGTGGAGTTCTCGATTGGTAATAAGTTACTTTAGCGAGATGAAATTTGAGATGACGTTATATTCTCTAAATGTATTGAGTTTTTTTTAAACTTAGCATGCCTCTTTTTCCAAAAGCGCTTTAGTCTTTTTCTTTTAAATAGCATTATTAGAAAAGTAAAACATTATGATTATGGTAATGCTGTTGCTGCTATGCCCACTTGCTTCTGCTAAGATTTAAGATACAAGATGTTGTTTATGTTTCCAAAAAACATCATTGATGTTAAATAGTATAATTAAAAAGAATAAGCAACCACTTCATACTACTAGAATGGCTATGGGAAAAAGACTATGGGAAATAATAAGTATTGGTGATAATTTGGAGAAATTGGAACCCTCATGTATTACCGGTTGGGACATAAAATGGCATAGTGGCTGTGGAAAAGTTTGGTGGTTCTTCAAAAAGCTAAATATAGCAGTTACCACACGACTCAGCAATTCCACTCTTAGGTATATACCCCAAAGAATTTAAGTCAGAGACTCCAATAGATACTTTCATGACAGTGATCATCGCAACAACATTCACAAGAGCCAAAGGTAGAAACAACCGAACTGTCCATCAAAAAATGACCAGAAAAGCAAAATGCTGAGCAGTAGTCCTCCTTCGTGCTGTGCTCTGTCACTCAATGGGATCCGCCTGTCTGCGACCCCGCGGGCTATATCCTGCCAGGCTCCTCTGTCCATGGGGATTCTCCAGGCAGGAACGCTGGAGGGGGTTGCCATACCCTTCCTCAGGGGATCTTCCCAACCCAGGGACTGAATCCAGGACTCCCGCATTGCAGGCGGATCCTTTACCACCTGAGCCAGCAGGGAAGCCCAGGAACACTGGAGTGGGTAGCCATCCCTTCCCCAGGGGATCTTCCCGACCCAGGAATTGAACTGGGGTCTCCTGCATTGCAAGCGGACTCCTTACCATCTGAGCTACCAGGGAAGTCCCCTTTAACCTGCAGGCAATATGTTCCAAGAAGCCCAGTGAATGCCTGAAACCTCAGGTAGTACTGAACTCTATATATACTGTGTTCCCCACCCCCCCATAAATACATACTTATGACAATGTTTAATTAGTAAATAATGCACAGTAAGAGATTAACAACAATAATGATAAAATAGAACAATTGTGACAATGTATTGTAATAAAGGGGCTTCCCAGGTGGTGCTAATGGCAAAGAATCAGTCTGTCAATGCAGGAGACATAAGAGATGCTGGCTCAATCCCTGAGTCAGGGGAATCCCCTGGAGGAGGGCATGGCAACCCACTCCAGTATTCTTCATGGAGAATTTCATGGACAGAGGAGCCTGGTAGGCTGCAGTCCACAGTGTTGCTCAAAGTTGGACATGACTGAAGCAACTTAGCATGCATGCATGGTAATAAATGTTATCTGAATATAGTCTTTCTTTCAAAATATCTTCTTGTACAAATGTGATGCCTTTTTCATCTTGACTAAGCACTTATCCCTGTGGCCATAACTTTTGCAGTTTAAGGTGTAACAGCAAAACCAGCACAGATTTCTTTTTCCTTCTTCACAATTTCATGGATAGAATATTCATTCTAAGTGTAGATTTTATGACCTCAGAATGCAATTTTTTTTCCTTTCCTTTCCTTATTAAATTGAGAACTTTCACATTTTCACATGACAGAAGTACTTTAGAGCTTCTCTTTGGCACATTCAAATTGTCAGCATCACTACTCTTGTACTTTGGAGCCGTTATTAAGTAAAATAAGGGTTGCATGAACATTAGCACTGTGCTACCAGTAGTTGATGTGGTAACTAAGATGCTCCTAAATGACCAAATGGATGGTATACAATGGGCAAAGGGATAATTCATGTCCTGGGCAGGATGGCATGAGATTTCATCACACTGCAGTACTCAGAACAGCATGCAATTTAAAATTTATGAATTATTTATTTCTGGACTTTTCTATTTAACATTTTAGACCACGTTGAGTTTGGGTAACTGAAACCAGGTAAAGTGAAACCTTGCATAGAGGGGACTACTGTATACACCTACAATGGAATATTACTCAGTCATAAAAAGGAATGCTACAACACATGCATGGACAAATGCTACAACATGCATGAACCTCAAAAATGTTATACTGAGTGACACAAGCCAGTCACAGAAGGACAAATATAGTTCAATTCCACTTATATGAAATATCTAAAATAGGCAAATTCACAGGGGCAGAAAGTAGCTTACTGGTTAGCAGGGACTAGGGGGAGGGAAATGGGATATGCTTTATGGTTACAGAGTTTCTGTTTTTAATAATGGAAAACTTTTGGAAATAGTAATAAGGGTTGCTCAACATTGTCAATGTAATTAATGCCACTGAACTGCATATTTTAAAATGGTTAAAATGGTAAGTTTTATGTTATGTATACATTACCACAACAAAGAAGAATAAGCAAAAGACTAGATTCATTCAGCATAAAAGTTTTCATACTGAAATAGTATTTGATTTTGTATTGCTTCACAAAGAGTGATGTATATAGGTATAGACTGATACTCTTCAGTATTTTTAAAACTTAGGAAAATGGTCACTTATAATAGAAAAACAAACAAACTGGTAGCAACCTTACTGTTGAAGCAGTCTGAGCTTAGGCTGGAAAAGAATTTCCAGACACAGAGTATTTCAGAAGGGAATAAGTTTATTAGGAGCAAGGAGCAGAGATAATGAACGTGCTATACGTGCAGCAGGCCGACCTCCTGACAGACCAGGGAGAGTCAGTATTTTTGTGGCTTAGTAGCCAATCTTTATAGCCTCAAGCCAAAAAAATATTCCTGCTGGAAGGTTGGCATTAGGTGATTGGTTGAGGTGCTATAGGGTGTTTACTGGAGTGGGCATCTTTGCCTAACTTGGAGTTAGGAGTTTAGAGTTAGTGATGATCAGGGGCTTCTGGCAAATGTTACAAAGGGGTTCAATCAGCTTCGTGGGTGAGGTTGATTCTGGACTCTGCTTCTGTGGCCTTGGTACAAGTCCTTGTACCTATGGCCTGGGGCAGGACTCAACACTAACAGCCAACAACAGCCGAAGAACAGTTACACAGATTATGGTAATTATCTTTACGGGAGATGATACTATCATTTCTGTATTTCTGTATGAGACCTTTAATGCTGAGAAGGAAATGGGAACCCACTCCAGCATTCGTGCCTGGAGAATCCCATGGACAGAGGAGCCTGGTAGGTTCCCAGTCCATGGGAATGCAAGAGTCAGACATGACTTAGCGACTAAACCACCAACACCATACATTAAAACAATTATTGTGCAGCAACATTAAAACTGATTATGGTATATTAAATAAAAAGACTATTCTGTATACTGTAATTAAATTGTACTTTAGGTGGGAAAACATTTTAAATAATAACTATTAGGCGAGGGTAGTGCGCTTGAGTAATTTTAAAATACTGTTTCGTGTTTTCTGAAATTTGGTATGTTTTATCAGAATAAATTGGGACAGACAGTATGATCACAAGCTCACAGCTCCAGAGCGGAGGCAGAAGACTTCATTTAGTGGTCCCATTTGAGATTCCATAGCTGGCTTGGCTTCAGGCCCCAGGGGCGGCTCCCTGCTGATCCCGGACCAGCTTTGTGGGGGTCCATGATCCCAGTTAGGACTGCGTTTTGTTGGCGCTTTTTCACTCCCGAATATTGCATGGGACAACCACTAAAAATTATGTGTTTATCCGAGATGCAAACTTAACTGGGGGTCCTGTATTTGCAGTTGCCAAATCTGGAAACTCTGCCTCTACACCCACCCACCTACCGTCTCCCTCCATCCCTCACCACCGCCGCCTCTCGTAAAGCGCTCCGAACCCTCATTCGCTTCCACTCGGCGCTCACCCTCCTCCCAGAACTCGGGATCCACCCTCCGCCTGACCTCCGCGAGGAGCCCAGACTCCACCCTGCCTCCGTGCCGCCCAGGGTGCCCCCGCCCCACACCCCAGTCGCTTTGGGCCGAGCCGGCCCCCGCCTTCTGGCCGGGCGGGCGAGCGCGCAGGCGCAGAGGGCGGGCACGGGCGGAATGGGGACTGCGGCTGCTGCATGCTGCAGCGGCGGCGGCCGGGGAGGGGGCGCGCAGCCCGAGCCCCGCCGCCGTGTCGCTCGGCCTGGGCGTGGCCGTAGTGTCGAGCCTGGTGAACGGGTCCACGTTCGTGCTTCAGAAGAAGGGCATCGTGCGCGCCAAGCGGCGAGGTAGGGCGGGCAGCGGCCCTGCTCGGGGTGGGGGCGGGGGGTGTGGAGGGAGCCGCCGCCGGGTGTTGGGAGAGGAGCTGCCTCAAGTAGGGGAGTGTTCGGGTCGTCAGACCGAGCGGGGCACCTCCGAAGGGCGAGCTGCGCGGGCTGGAGACCCCTTAGCCCACCCGAAGCGCAGGCACGGACGCTGCCCTGCGCGCCAGGAGCGTCTCTGCTAGGAAAGCTGCCGGGGAAATCAGCCGCCCTCCCTGAGCGATGGTAGTGGTGTCGCCGCCACTGTTCTTCTCCCTTCCCAGCGGCTGCCAAGGCCGTCTTCAGTTTTATACGGTTTTTCCAGCAGACCTCTTTCCTACCTCGCAGACCCAATCCCTTTGCAGCCGTGCAGCCCGCCGACCCGCCCTCTGGTTGCCGCCCCGGTGTCCCTGTCACCTGCATTCGCCGGCTGCTTAGGGACGGCTTCTTGTCTGCAGTATTGCTGGAATGGTCGGAGCCCACTGCCGGGCCGGGAGGAGAGACCTTTGCTGTGACTCGGGCCAGGGGTGCACTTGGAGGGCAGGGTCCGCTGACCTCTCTCCCTGCAGAGGCCGCAGCAGTGCGGAAGAGAAAATGCGCGCTAGGCCGGCCAGCGTGGGACTTGCGGGCCAGGGAGGCGCTTGCCCTCGGGGTCTGTGCTTTCCTGCGGCTTCTGTTCTGAGGTCCTTGACTGAACCATCTTTGGTTTAGATTTGACCTAGTTGACAACAAAGGATTTTCACTGTGAAAAACACGCAAGACAGATTAAAATAACCAAGAATGGGCCGACTGAATATTGCTTGGGGTGGACTCTTCTTATCAGTATGGAAAGTGAGAGATGTGGCAGAGTTCTTTGCCAGTGTGCCTGTGTGCTGAGAGGTTAATTCTGTTTACTGAAGGCAAGATGTAGCATGCTTTAAAACTGCTAATGAACCAGTTAATGTCAGTTAATGTAACTGCTAATGTCCAGAAGGACTGAGGTCTTGTGGTTGTTCATTGTGTTCTACAAGAGTAGTGTTAGGAGCTTTCTGGGAAGGAGGAAGCCACCAGGTCATGGGTTTAAGAATAAGTTAACTCAAATTCTAGAATACAAGTGAAACTCTCTTGAGTGCCCTGGATGTTCAGCCATGAGTGAATTGAGGAAAGAGATAAAGGTACCTACAACTTCCAGAGAAAATATGAAATCATAGATATTTGTTAAAGAATTCAGCTTCAAAGGGAAAACGTTGCGGTCTGTACATAAGATCTAAATGAAATCTAATGTAGTTTCCCTCGGCTGCGGCTGTAAACTCTCAGGTAGGAAACAGTCGTCTGGCAGCTGCACAGTTTTCAGGGAGCACCTGTCAGTTTGAGGGGCTTTAGGGTGAAGTATTTGCTGTAATTAAAAAATAAACAACATATGTGCCCTTGATAGGATGGGTACATGATCTCCCAAACCCACAACCCAGTCAACCATGAGAAAAAACACCACACAAAGCTGAATTCAGAAATAGCCTGCGAAATATCTTCAGCCCTCCTGTCAAGGTTGTAAAGTCAGAGACTGTCAGAGCCAGGAGGAGCCTGAGGACACGTGACCATGTGACATTAGGTAAAATCTAGGGAAACCTGGTTATAGACTTACCAGAAAACAATGATTATTGAGTAAAACTAAATGTGTTGTTTCAGCTGAGTTTATGTGTTCAAGGGAGTTAGTGAATAAGAAAAAAACCCACAGAAACCTGAAAAAAATTATTGATGGGCTTTTATTTATGCTTGCACACCATGCCTTTAAATTAATGAGTGAAACTGTGATATTTGCTAATTTCATTCTTCCCCAGTTACTATCCAACATTACTAATTCAAGCTTCCTGGGTTCCTCATAATGACAGAGTATGGACATATAGTCTTGTTTTGATAAATTAGTTTTGATTTGTTCAGCAGATATTCATGAAAGTCTTATTATATGTAAGTATACTCTTGTAGGTATTGAGGACACGTAGTTTCAAAATCGACTCCTCCTGCATCCTTTTTCTGCCTCTGCTGACAGGCAGCATAGTTGGCCATTGTGAAATGACTGAAATGAAGATGGGGGGACAGAGAGGGTGGCTGAAAACAGAAGAGAGTCAAGTTCTTATGTTAAGGAATGGTTTCTACCTCTGTAAAAAGCTGAAAGTTTCAACTTTATTGCGTTGCCATGCACCAGTATTTCTTTTGAGTCTCAGCTTCAGGAGAGCCACCATTCTGGTCACAGCCCTTCTATTGGGTGGAGGGGTTGTAACAGCTTCCTCTGTTACTAGCTTTCACTCACTCTTGCAAGGACCTTGAATGGAATACCACGCGTGGAATGAAAATGAATAGGCTAGGAGCACCATCCACAACACAGGCTTAAGATGAACCGCCTCACTTCTGGGGTGGCTTTGAAGGACTCTGAAGATGGGAAGTGGTCCGGGAGCACCTGGGGCTACAGGACATTGATAATGTGTTTAGTGTTAGAACCCACTTGAAGCAGAGCTTATAAAAGAGAAGCAAGGTAATCATCGAGTAGATGTTTGTTGAAAGCCAGTTGCAATATTAGAATTCCTGTGCGGGTAGATAGGCTAGGATGAAGCCTCTTAGCTAGGGGGATGATGTCCTACCCTCAGACTGACATTGTAGAGACAGCCTCAGGAAAGTCATATGTATGGATTTGCTGGAGGCTTTGGAGGACTGCATAGATGAGTAATTCTATTAGAATGTCCTAGGCCTGGAAGAATCACGAACTTTTAAAAAATTCCCTTTCATCAAAACCAGGAGATACCTCCTAATGCCTATTATGATGGCTGTTGTTTTAAAAAGAAGTAAGAGGTAATAAGCATTGCTGAGGATGTTGAGAAATTGGAACCCTTGTGCACTGTTGGTGGGAATGTAAAATGGTATACCTGCTATGCAAATCAATATGGAAGTTCTTCAAAAAATTAAATGTAGAATTACCATATAAGCCAGCAGTTCCATTGCTGAGTATATATATCCAGAAGAAATAAAAGTAGGACTTGGATAGATATCTGCACACCCTTGTTCATAGGAGCATTATTCACAATAGAGAAAGTGTGGAAACAACCAAAATATCCATTGATGGATAAATGGATAAACGAATTGTGGTATATACATTTAAAAGGAATATTATTTAGTCTTAAAAAGGAAGGAAATCCTGACAGATGCTTCATTATAGATGAGCCTTGAGACATTATGCTAAGTGAAATAAATCAGTTACAGAAGGACAAACCTTATGTGATTCTACCTATATGAGGTACCTAGAGTAGTCAAATTATAGAGACAGAAAGTAGAATGGTGTCACAGGGGCTGTAAGAAGGAGAGGTGGAAAATTAATGTTTAATGGGCACAGGGTTTCTGCTTTGTAAGATGGGATAGTTCTGGAGATGGATGGTGGTGATTGTACAACAGAGTGAATGTACTTAATGCCATGGAACTGTACACTTAAAAATGGTTAAAATGGTGACTTTTATATGTATTTTTCCACGTTAAAAAAAATGCTTTTCAGATTTCATAGTCTCTTTTCCTGAGAAGAGTACAGCCTAGATGTGTAGTTACACTGTTAGGTGCTCAGAAGGTGAGTGAGTTGTCTCATGAGAGTGAAAACTGGAATCCAAGTATCCCGCCTGCTAGTCTCAAGCCTCCTGTACTGATTTGAAGGGCACATGCTCTCTGGCTGTCGAAAGTACACTTTTCCCTTGCCTCTCCTGTCATTCCCAGGCACACACCTAGGTGCATGTACCCCCAAACCCGGAGATGAGGTGGACACATGTTGTCTTCACCCCTGCCACCCTTTGGGCCTGCGGTTAGCTTCTCAGCTTCTGTGACTCCTCCACGCCCTGACAGATGGAATTGGCTCCTTCTGCTGTATGTCTTCTTGGTGCCTATCCTCAGCCCTTTTCTGCCCCTGAAACCTGTGGTACCATGGCTTGTTCACTTGTCTGTGTGCCCCCTGGATCGTGGCTGCTCAAGGCAGGGGACACGTCCTGTCAACGGGGAAGCGTATGGTGAGCACTCAATATGCCATCTAACTGGCCATGAGTATCCATGTAGTCAAGAGGGTAAAACTGAACCTTGTATTTTATCTGTGAGCTTTCTTCAAATTACTCAGAGCTGACCTCATTTACCTGTGGCCTCTACTAAGCAACAGAAGCCAGAGTTACTGCCAGATCTGAAAACCTGTAACCCTGATCCCTGCCAGCTCCAAGGGAGATCACTGATAAGGAGCAGGGTGCAGCTGTTAAGAGCATCAAGTGGCTCCATGGCCTGTGCATATCTGGTTTACTTGATAGTATTTCCAGAAGAGAAGGTAAAGAAGGCTGCTACTTACACAAGACTCATGATGTCCCAGCCTCATGCATCTGTCTGGATTCAGATGGGCCCTGCTTCCTTGGGGGTCTTCCAGTGGGTTGCAGTCAGACAGTGGCTGGGGCTGGAGCCATCTGAGATGATTTCCTCACTCACTTGCTCGGGACAGCTGAAGCAGCTAGAGAGAGTCCTGAGCCCCCTCTCTTTTTCTCTCTCCCTCTTCCTCCCTATCTCTGTCACTATTGTAGTCTCTTCACACATGACCGCCTTGGGCTTTCTCACACCATAGTGCTCGGTTCAGGGAAGTCATACCCCTTACGTGCTGGATAGCTTCGTCTAGACCAAATCTTCCAAAGACTAAAGTGATGGCTGAACGATCTTTGTGACCTGTTTTGGAAGTCTTACAATACTACTTCTGCCACATTCTAGTGGTATACTCAGAGCCAGCCCAGGTTCAGAGTGTGAGGGGACAGTATAGGGACCTGGGTCCCAGGAGGTGTGATGTAGGAGAGAAGTTGAGGCATGTGGTCGATACAGGACTGGTTGGGGTCTTCCAGTGGGTTGCAGTCAGACAGTGGCTGGGGCTGGAGCCATCTGAGATGATTTCCTCACTCACTTGCTCGGGACAGCTGAAGCAGCTAGGGAGAGTCCTGAGCCCCCTCTCTTTTTCT